AAAAAAAAGGAAGGAAGAAAGAAAAAGCGAGAGGACTAGGAAATTCCACTGAAAAGGTAATTTTTAAAAAACACAGAAAATGTATTTGTCTTTCACTTGCTTTGCTCTTAGGTCACATCAATTACTTTTGTCAAATAAAGGACATCAGAAACAAAAAGATGATAAAAGAGTAAGGAAGGAAAGCTTGTTGGCTAGTTTTGAAAATATAACAGCAAAAAATCTTTTCTTTCAAAAGTAAGTAAAATTCACCAATAACAAGATAAAAAAGTGTGCTATTTTTCTCATTCTTCTGAGCTAGTTCTTAAGAACTGGCCTGAAAATAACGTATTCACTACAGGGAAAAATGTACCTTTTGCAGATGTACCTTCACACTCTTTCATATGATTCAGGAGAAGCATTGTACTGCTTTGTAACAAAAAACATTCATTTGGTGGAAGAACATTACAAGTCAATAGCGTAAAGTTCATAAAATTTCCTTCAACACATCATCACATGTAAACAACTTAAGACACAGATCAGTGCAGGATTGCTGTATGGCTTCTTTCCTCCACATATCCTATTATACTCACTCTACTAGTGGAGTTGAAAACCTTACTAACAGAACAATTAACAATTTCCAAGAGGAAAAAATACTATTTATGTAAAACAAACAAACAAAAACAAACAAACAAAAAAAAACAAACAAAAACAAACCAAAACAAAAACCCTCTAATGTGTATCAGTGTAAGAAAATTCAAGTTAAAAATGAAACTCTTAAGTCTTTTAAAGTTGTAAGCAGCTTAGTGCTTCTCCTGTGTTAGTGCAGAGGCCAGGTCTCCTACTACAGCAAGCTATGGAGTCAAGAACTTTCCAATGGCTAAGTTTCCCTGAACAAGTGGTCCCTTCCAGCCTCAACCATTCACAAGAAATATATGACAGGACCTTACAAAATGAATATACAGTTATACAGGGAGATAAGAAGAGAGTATATTGTTCCTTCGCAGCTTTGTGAGTTGAATGGACAGCCAGGAGATGCGACAAATTGGCAAAACTCGCTGTGGCAATCTTTGGCTCTCTTTCTTTACCAGTGCGAACTATTGACCAGGTTCCCCTACTTAGTTGCTGATTACATAATTTGATGAGTACAATTGAAGCAAGGCTTGAATATTTACAAAATTCACATGACTGAAGACATAACATTGAGGTAATGAGATACCAGGACAGTGATAACATTTCACCTTGCTCCATAAAACAAAAGTAGCATCCATTTTCCAATAGCATCAATAATCAATATTGATAGAATAAAAATAATTCCACAGTGCTCTGTTCTATACATCATACCCACAGATGAAAACAAAAGTCTGTAATTTAGATCTTTTGTTCTCTATTAGCTGTTACCTGTAGCAAGGCAAAACAGAATACTCCTTAAATACAAAGTCACATTAATTGCTTCAGGTAAGGCATAAGTATTGTTTATTTTACTTATCAGTCAACTAACACATTAATATTATATTCATCAGCACTATATCAGATATCTTTCAGACTCTCTGCCACCTAAATTACAGCTTGATTCAACTCTTTACACATTTAGAAACTTAGTAATTGAGGTGAAGTTCACCAGTCAGGAAACTGCAGACACAGAATTAAAACTGAAGAATCAGAAAATATTTAATTGTTATATAAGTTCGTCTAATGTATTTCATAGGTAGCTACTGGTAAATGTTTTGGCATGATAATAGGAAAAAAAAATATTAAAAACAAAATAAAACAATTTCTCCAGGCATACTGAAGCACATAAGCAAACTATTTAACATTCATTTTTGATCATCTAATTGCAAATGTACATAGAGCACTGTTATTAGTTAGTTTGCATGAATTTATGCATACAGGTAAGGCTTATAGGGAAAAAAACCAAACCAAAACAACAACAACAACAACAAAAAACAAAGAACAGAGATTTTTACATTTTACAAAGGTATGTTATTGAGTGTGAGAAAATTCTGCTGCATAACATAACGTACAAATTACAAGAAACACATTACCTAACCTGATTTTTGAAGAAATTTGATTATGCTGTTTTAATAAAAACCTGACTAAGCTTCTTGACTTACCTGTCTTTTCTCATGTTTGCTATGGAAAGAATATGATGGTGCCCTAACACCTGAGGTCATGACAAACGCTCAGCTTCTTGCTGGCAAACTAATTTATGTACAATAATAATATTTTCTGTAGGGTTCTTAGGGTTCTGTACTTTAGACAATACTTAGAATGTTATCATGGCACCAAGCATAATGAGAAAGCCTGTACTCAGACAGCCCAGTGCTCTGGCTTTTCTTTAAACAGGAAAGGAAAGGGAGCTGTAAGAAAAGTATGGCATGATATAATTACAGCTGCTCTGAAAGTCATGAATTCAGACTGATGTAGAAGTGGTCACTGAAATTGATTTTTCTTGCTTTTTAGATATGTCAGCAAACTTGTTTTTTACACAATTTCCTAGAATCTGGTTTTCTATCATATAAACATACTTGTCTACTACAACATAGTGACACGGCTCAGGAAAATGAAATATTTTCCGACATCTTACAAAAATGTGAAGCTAATCCAAATAAAGATAACATAAACAATCACAAACTAGAACAGATAAAATGCAGAAATACAATAAGGCATTTTGAAAATTGTTTGAAAAACAATGCAAACTGCGTAGCAAGTAGCAATTTTTCCAAGTCTATTAGGATCAGGTAGCACAGCAGTTCCATAGCCCATTACCACAAAGTAAAATTGGAGAAAGTATTGAGAAGGCTAACAAAAATTATTAAAGGTGTAAAATATATTGTGGACTGTAGAATCATGCCATTAATATGGTGAATAGAAACTAACTCAGTACTCTTTCATTCCCTCAAAGAACTTGAAGAAAGACTTGAAGTGAAAACAGAAACTGCCAGCTTCAAATCAAACATAAGGGGAAACTTCTTCATGCACTACATAATTTAAACCTATAAAAATTTATGAATTTAAAACATTTGCATTGTTAAAAGTGGGATTGAATAAATCCATTAAAGAAAACCCTACAGGATTCAAATTAGCCTGAGCAGCTTAGCTACAATTTGTTGGAGGTCTTAATTCATTCCATGCTTGCAGTGATTGTCACTAAATCATTATTGGCCAGTGCCACATATGAATCATGACATACATGGATTTCTGATCTGATCTGGTGTATCTGTTCTTATCAATTGCATGTTCCCTTTTCTGTTGTTACTTGGTAGGAAGTGCAAACTGTCCTTAAATCACTTTTAAATTAGCATTTCAGTGTTATCTGTTGTGTATATGGATGTTGTTACTTCAAAATACGGAATATGTTTAATTGATACTAACACATTATATTTTAAAAGTAATCACAGTGTATTATGAATATGAGAATCTTTTTATCACATTTTGACTTACTCAGAAATAAACTACGTTAAAATTTCAATAATGGCATCTCATCAATAATGTTTTTCCCCCACAAATTTTGAGGCACTTCACTTTTTCAAACTGCTCAAAGACTGAAGAAAAATCTTTGCTTTGTTGTGAAATAGTATTAAATCATTTAAATGAATTTTAAAATACAGAGTTTCAGTGATAATGTAGTTAAATGAGGCTATTTTTCAATATACATGTGACAGTGCCTTTGAAAGGCAATTTACTTTTGATTCTAAAGCACTGGATATCTATCCAAAAATTTTAGAGATCAATTCGAAATTGATATGTACTTCTAAGATACTGAAGTAATAAATGAAAACTTTTCTTTTAAAAATTAATGAAAACACAGTGACCTAGAGTTTCATATTGACTGTTTAGGAAGATAAAGTAGAATGCATTCTAATCATACGGAAAATACAGTGATCTAGAATTTCATATTTAATATTTATCAAGATAAAATAGAATGCATTCTAATCATATGAAGTCCACACAAGCAATTATTTACCTTCACAAATTGGAGAAGATCCTTCAAACTGCAATTGTGTATTCAGTTTGCAGGTTAATATATCTTGTCCAACAAGAGTAAAACCAGGATGACATTTGTACTTGACAAAATCTCCTGAAAGAGTTATTAACAGGAAAAAAAAAAAAAAAAAAAGAAAAAGAAGAAAAAAATTAAAAAAATTGAAAAAAAAATCTTGAAGTTTAAAATGAAAAAGAAAACTTCAAACAGAAGTATGCAAATATCTCAGGTGAAGGGTGAAATATATTAATAGTTTTGTTGAAATTCAGTTGAAAAGATAATACAGGAGACACAACACTATTGCCACTATTTTATCACCTATTCCATAGTCACCATCTTCTGTAAACAAATCAGCATGAGGAACTATTGGTGGAGGCTGGCACTTCTTCAGCTGATATGCTGCAAATTTAAGTGAAAATAAGATTAAGTAATGACATGTCATTTTACAGAAAAATAATTTCATATTTACACTTGTCAAATTATCAAAGCTATACTAGAAATTACAGTCCTCTGTTAAAACATTTTCCAATTTAAATGCCATGACATTACACACACACACACACACACACACATAGAGAGAGAGAGAAAGATAATATATTTATTATCAGTATAGACAGTATAGTACTCTGCCTACATAGTTATAGGTACATCCACCATCTGACTGAATGCAGTAGCGATGCTTATGAGGATGTATTTGCAGCTACACAGCCCATCATAAGGATAATCACATTCCTTCAATTTCTTGGAAAATCTGTTCATATCAGTTACATTTCTGGCTAATCGTATGAATTCTTGATTTAAGCATATTGGAGAAACAAAGGTTTCTCAGGTAAAAGTATATATCTTTAAAAAGAAACAAAATAACAACAATGATCATAATGCTTACAAGTTAAACAGCAGCAATGCCTTTAAAACAAAATTCTTTCTTCTCTCTGTTTCAAAAAATTGTGAGCAGTCTCCTAAGGGATATGACCAGTTCAATAATTGACATTGACCATTCCCTGTAGTTCACTGTGCAGACACAGTCCTGGAATGTGTGAGTCCCCTGCCTGGTGTCTAAAGCTGGTACTTTAGTCTTTGTTCCTCAGATAAATGCTCTAGAGTCTAGACATGAGGCTACATCACATCCTTTTTTTTTTTTTTTTTTTTTTTTTTGTGTGTGTGTGTGTGTGTGTGAGATAAACATAGACAAGAAAAAGACTGCAGAATCTGTAGTAATTCTGTGAAGACTACTCCATGCAGATAGATATCTTCATCTTTCTATGATACTGCCTTCTGTTCTTGTGAATTAATTCACTCTATATTTTTGAATATCAATCCAAAACATGAACAAATTAATATACAAAATCTGAATGAATTCAGAATTAGAATTCAGAATTAGAAGTAGAACTGAAATGCTACATTTTGTGCCTGAGTTACAAACCTAATTTGCCTAGTTTGCAGGTGAGATGCCTAGCTTGCAGGGCCACAGCTACAGCCATGACTTTAACTTTGAATACAGTACTTTACTATGTATTGAACTTAAAGCTGCTGTTCAACGCTCCAGTGCCATCCCATCAAGATTTCAATAAACGATCCCTAAATTAATAAGCTGGTGAGGATTTTTGTTACAGCAGTATAAATTAATTGATAAATAAATGGGCTCAATAAATTAAACAACTCAAAGAATGATATTAGATACCAGTGATTAATATTAGCAGTAGAACATCGTTTATTCATTGTAAAAATGAATTTTAAGATTTTTTAATTTTCTTTTTTTTAAAAACAAACAAACAAAAAAAAGAACAAAACAAACTAATCTATGCTGTTATTTTTTAAAAAGTAGCAAACCTACTAAGCCCTGGTATGCCCTGTAAATAGATGTAATAATTACCCCCCATAGTTAAAAATTCTTATTAAAATTCACTTATTGATTTTCATAATTAGACCTTGATCATATAAAACAAACTGACCATGAAAATTGAGAACAAAGAATCCTCCCGTCGAAAAATCACTGTGAAATTTGAGGAGGACTTGATTGGTAGAACTGTAAGCTGTTTCCAGAGCTGTGTTCCCACTGAACACTCCGAGCTGAGGTGAGTTATGGTCAGGACCATCCCTAGAAAAGCAAACATCAAAAATCAGCTGAAGACACACAATAGCTCACATTTAAATTAAAAGTCTTTTTTTCTCTATAATATAAGTTACATATCCATATATATATTATGAATATCTTTTCTAATGATTTAGAATATTTATTTATTTATTTATTTATTTATTTATTTATCTTATTATTACCAATATAATCTTCCTTTTATATTCCAAACCTAGTATGTGAGAAACCAAGAGTAATTTATAACTGTATTTCCAGGGGTAAAAAAATTATTGATGGACTTTTTAACATTTGATTTTTTCTGTTTTTTTTTTTTTTTTTTTTTTCCTGCCAATATTTTCATATATATATCAGGTGAGGAAAAAGCCTTATGATCATATTTCTAAGATTGTTCACCTGGATCCTTCAAGTCTGTACCCATGGCTTGTATATATAGAGATGTACAACTTCATTATGTTGTTTCAATCCTAAGAGTCTTTTTACTATAACATCTATGGGGAGTAAATGAAGGGGGGGGGGGAAGCTGAAAGAAAGGCTATGTATTTCTGAACAACAGGATTGATAACCAAAGAGGAATAGTACAAAGAAAGCACGCTGCTTTCATTTTCATTATCATCATGCACAAAATGACATAGCTCTGAACAGCTAGGGCAAATAAATAAAACTACTGCTTTAATCACTGAAGAATTTTTGGAGTCCTGTAACACTTGTCTGTGGCCTTGTATATTACATGTACAGAAACTAAAGAGAATCAAAAACCTTTTATGATATGTATTTTAGATGGCTGGATATTACCTAGAAACTCTCAGAAAGCATTTAGTTTTTGATCTTTCACTGTCTTTAAACTAGAGGGATATTAGTTTACCTACAGTTGCATGGTTGAAAAGCCAAGCATTAACTCATTTTTGTCTGTTTCAATTCTATCAAGATAATCTGGTTATAAAAAGAAATATCCATTGTATGGACAAATTGGTTCAAGATTTTTAAAAAGGTATATCATGTATACAGCTTGCAATACAACTTGGATTTTTAAAAAATATAATTTAAATGAATTATTATTTTCTTATTCAGTGAATCAAGATTATCCAGGCTTCCTATTTCAGCTCTAGTATCAGTGATGGTAAGAAAAAATGAACTAAAGTGGACTTTGCATAAAGATGTATTTTCAACTTCCTCCTGCCGTGTAAATAATTGTCAAAATAATGAATATTGAATAAGAGCCTGACAATTTACTTCAAGAAAACACATTTCTATAATTTCTATGCCAAGTCAGCTGTAGCTTTCTTCTTATTCCAAAAAAAATAAAAAAATAAAAAAAAATTCAGAAGTAAATGTCATATGTATGAATGACATAAACACAATTACACTTAACAGCCTACTCCCATCACTGATACATCAGAAAATAACTCTAAAGTTGTAAAGAAAGCATGCTTGTGATTTATGGGCAAACAGAAACTGTGATAAATAAGCTCTAAAATAATTATTTTAAAATGTTGACGGAAAGAATCTAACAAACGAGGGATTCAGCACATTGTATAGCTAAATATGTTCAAAAACTTGGCATGATTTTATGATTCAATAGCTTAAGCTTACAAAAAAGAATCATTAATCCAGCATTCTTTATTTTTTACCATATCAGAGAGGACAGGACTACCTAGGATGAATTTTAGACATGAACTCCATGCTAGTGCAAATATAAATGTTAGCTACATCGCGGTTCATAAACAGTCACATATAACTTTTATAATCTAATTCTATTTTCACTGTATTATATTTAGTATTATTGTCTGGAAAAAAAACTCACCCTACTCAGGAATAAGTACAATAAGACTGGACTAGCTGGCAGATAGCGGCAGCTGACTCAAAAAAAAATAACCTGCATTCCATATTCTGTGCAAACTATCTGGAGCACATAGGAGAGAGAGGTCATTTAGCATGTAACATGGAATGAAGACTAGGAATGGGTATAGTTGAATACTTAACAACTTTTTATCAGAGACATCATCATATGCAGTAAATTTTATGAAATAACATTGGCAGCCCTGAGTTCTAATTTTCCAACTGGAACCACAAAACTGAGATGGGTTTAGGAGATAAGAAATACAAGCTTGGGTAATGGGAACATAGAGTATGAAGTGACAGATATAGTGCTGAAATCCTCGTTTGGAAATATAGTTAATATGGCTATCAGCCTTACTGAGAGATAAGAAAAAAATAATTAATGCCTAAATTAATTAACACCTAAAAAATGTCAAAAGTTTTTTTTTTTTTTTTTTTTTTGCTGCAAGCAACAGATATTGCCTTTTATATTCATGGAACACATAATCCAACATGATGGAGCTTTTTTACTTTCACCTCTTGCTTTCATTTGGAAAACAGATTACACATAGCTACTGTAAAATATAACTTCTGTGCACATTGAGAAGCCCAAAAGAACTGCATGGTAATTGAGCATGTTTCAAAGTACTTTTAGAACAGTAATATTATGCATTTATACCCTGATATATCATGTTAATTATTTACACGTAGAGCTTCTTGTATATGTCATTCTTAAGCATGACAATCGAAAGGGCAATACTAAGCAAACACCAAAGCTTGGGACAGTGAGCATTCAACAAATGACTGAGAAAGAGATCACATTAAAATAAATAAATAAATAAATAAATAAATAAATAAATAAATAAATAAATAATCACATACCAAACAGCAATGTAGTCATTCACAGGTTCAGTTTGGAGTAAAGTAAAATTTATATAAATCCCATGGCCTGGAGGGACAACAATCAACCAAGTGCAGTCCTTGGAATTAGGGTATTCATCTGGGAATCCTGGGGAATAAACTGTACCATTCTGAGCAGACACATTATAGCCACAAGGAGCTGAAAAGGAAACAAAAGAAAAAATTAATAAATACTTTTTTGAGTTAAAAGTAACATCAAAATACTTCCAAATTCTAACAGCTCCACTGAACAATCCCATCTAGGTCTTGAAGACAGTATCTTTTCCTTGGTTGCTTGCTTCTCTGAGAAAAAAAGTACTGATATTTCTAAAAAATAAGTTTTCCTGATGTGTTTCAGATTTTATTGCTTAGAATCCATTAAAATCTACTGGAGATGCCACTTCTATTGAAACAGTTATGACACATTTAAAAAGTAGCATCTTCAATTTGCAAAGATAGAAAATATATAATAGCATTTTAGAATGATAGAATCATTAAGATTGCAAAAGACCTCCAAGATCATCAAGACCAGCTGTCCACCTACCACTATTATTGCCCACTAAATCAAGTCTTCAAGTACAACAGCTCCACATTTCTTGACCACCTCCAGAGACAATGACTCCACAACCTCCCCGTGCAGACTGCTCCAATCCCTGACCTCTTTCTGAGAATATTTTTTTCCTAATATTCAATCTGAACCCCCTCTGGCACAATTTAAGGTCATTCCCTCTCGTTCTGGGAAGTTGTTTCTCTAAATTTTGGGGCCCTGGTAACCACATCAGCTTTCTAGATACATAAAGTCTCTACCTGAGAGGGAGAGCTCAAGAAGGTGGGCTTGTTCTGCACCTCAGATCTGAATCCCAATGGCCAAAACCACCCTTGGACCTGGTTTCTGTCCCTCAGCTAGGAATCTGTGATTCCAGCATGTCCCTGGATCTGTGTACTGTTTTCTCACTGTACGGAGCAAGTGATTTTTCTCAAGCTTTTCTGGTGCCCTCCTGGAAATGTTGTGCTATATGTTCATTGGGATAGAGCTAAGAAAAAAAACTCTAGAGAAATTATGTCTTGGCACAGATTCATGGATTCACATCTCTCATGCCAATCACAGCATGCTATCTCAAGTTGCTACAAGGCTTTCCACTCCCTAATCACAAAAATAAGCATGAAAGATAACTTCAGTAACAAGATAGTCATTCAGACTGGGTTCAATTCTTTAAATACATAATTACATGCTCTCTTTTCCATCTCAGTTTGAGAAAATGACTGATTCAGGATGCAGGCATGGTACACGTATGACCATTATATTGTACAGCAGAGACATTAATTGCAGTTGCGGAAATTCAGTCTATCTCTGAAATTTTTCTCTATAGTTCATAGAATGAACTATATGAACTTATGTTATTACTGTCAGGGTTCCTATGATTCTCCTTCAAACCCATTTCATTTCCTTTTCTCTTCTCAACATGGAGAAATACGAAAGGGAAAAAGGGAAAAGGAGAAGGAAAAAAAAAAAGGAAAGGAAGGAATTTTTTAATAAAAGGAAAAAAAAAATAAATAAAAGGATAACGAAAAGGGAAAAGGAAAAATAAGAAAGGACTAAGAAATGCAGTCATGACACATTTCCTGTATCATTTACAGCAGTTATGATCTGTTATGATCATCTTTCTAGCTGACAGGTAGCCCTTTTTGGATAAATCCTCTTTATAGCCTCTGGTTATACAGGACAGCTGAAACAGAGGCTTTCACAAATTCACACCCCAATTCACCTTCTTTATCCATACAAATACTAGCTAGCAAATGCATTCAGCACATCTTCCCATCTTAGAACATATGCTTCTGAACTATAAACCAATAAAGGAAATCATGTAAGGATAAAGCAAGATTGTTTTTATCTCCAGTTCCTTGTTGCAAGCACAGGGTGAGTCAGCTTTACTGGTTATATGATGAAAATGGAATGAGCCAATTTTTCACTTTTCTGTCAACCCGTACTTTTTTGCCATGCTCAGATAGCCTCTTATAAGAAAGCTACTCTGTTCTATCCACAGTTCCTCTTATTTAAAGCTAAAAAAGCTTGAGAAGTACACTTAATATATTGAAAAAAACCACTACCTTATATTATTATAGTGACAAGTTGAAAATCCTTCTAGTTCTGGTTAAGATGCGGGATTTTTCTGATTGAAGTTTTATATTTAAATATATTCTATGGTCATTATATTTCTGATTGGTTTATTAATGTCCATGACTGAAGATATTTTAAAATTTTAAACGCAAAAGCCTTCAGGGTTCTCTTATACTGCACAAAGAAAACAGTTTAACTGTATCTCATTAAAAATAGACTAATTTCTCTTATATCATTGTTAGACAGATAAAGTATCAAATGTGACACAGACAAACTTCAATAGTAAAGGCAGTACACACAGATGTCGACTGTGTTCTCCAAAGATCCTTCAACATCATAGGAAACAGAAGATTAGACAGAAATAATGGACTACGTTTCATCTCAAACTCCTTAATACATATTCTATGTGTGTTCAGTACTCTTTTAGGAAGTGTTGCTCTAGGTATTAAAAATGGAGTAAGAAATAAAAAAAGATACAAGGCTGCTAAGCCTCTTAGTGCTGAATTTATATCACTACTGAGGAATGCCATGTAGTTATTTTAAGTCCTTTTAAGACTCCAAAGATGTCTTCATTTTGTATTAGACTTAGAAACAAAACAAACAAATAAACCAACAAGAAACAAAAAACCCAAAAAAACAAACACATAAAACAAAACAATAAAAATACACCACCAACAAAAAAGCAAACACATTTTTTACATTTTTTTACATTTTTAAAATTAGAATCATAATTTTCAGACAAGTCTCTATGCTTTAAATAATATTCTACTAGCAATGCTAACTGTTCTTTTTACCCTGGCACTGGAACATACATTAATAATATTTCATCATCATCCTTTACACTCCTATATTACTCTTTAGAAGATAATTTTACACATTTATCTTGAGGAAGAATATATATTATACTTTGCTATCAGTGTGTTTTTACCATGGATCATCTTTTTTTTTTTTTTTTTTTTTTTTTTTTTTTTT